AAAAAAAAAAAAAAAAAAAAAAAAAAAAAAAAAAAAAAAAAAGGAAGAAATGATTTTCAATTTTGAACTGATTTGTTGACGCGAATCTGACGGAGGAAGGAGCTTTCGAGACTAGTCGAGGAATAGATAATATCGTTCATCTACATAAACGGTAAAGAACTGTGTCTGACCATGGCGTGTCCGTTGCTACTAGTTTCATCATCCATCGTGATTCACATTTCTGTCAAGAGTAATCTGTTCGTGTCACAATCCTCTATTTCCACGGACTCTTTTATCGCTCCTGTCACATTGTTTACGCATGTAAAAGAGACTTTTAACTTTGATATTTCGATCGCAGAAATGATCTGCCTCCACGGGAATTATTCAGGAAATATGACTTGCATTTTCTTGTCACTCTGTTTACCAATCCAGATAAATACCAGCGCACGCTAACGATATTCTGTTTATCTATGGTGCGCACGCGAATTAACAATCCATAATAACCACTTCATAAATTTCCCGACTACCGTTGCTCAACCGCGAATCCCGTGGAATCGACGGGGGAGAATCATTCCAACGAGCTTGAAAATGTTCCCGGACTTTCAGAGAAAGCGTGTAAATGAATTTTCACCGTTTGCGAACGAACGTCTTTTATACTGTTTTCTACGACTTTTCGCGAAATTGTTTTCCAAGATCTTTCTATTTCTCTTCGTTTTATCGCCAGTGACGCACAAACGGGATTTCTCTTTCTAATCATCTCTTTCGCGTATGATTCTGTGATTCTGAATTTTATCAGCGAGACGTGGCGCTTCCAAGAAGAAATCACGGTGGAGCAGGCTTGATTCACATTTCCTGCCGCGAAATTCTGCCTTCCTTGCTTTGTTGCCTCTTCCTGGCAAGCTGACGGGCCCACGTGGAAAAAATAGCATCGTCATAGCTGGCGTCGTCGACCACCGTGAGTCACTGAACGCCACTCTGAAAGTAACTCGTTCGAGAAGTAAGTGGTCATCTATGGTCGCAAGAATAACTCTACGCCGAGTGAAACCAAAATCTCAACATCTCGATCTATCGACGTGAGAGGGGAGAGAGATCACGGATCACGTGAAGTTTCGGATATTGCATTATTCGTTGAATCGCGTTGCGAACGAAATAACTGACGGCAAAGTTCGAGGAATCCATGCAAACGAGAAGCACTTTGGAAAACCCAATTATGATGTAACCGGTGGAATTCCATTCTGCTGGAACACGACGATAAAATAAAATGCGGCCAGTTCTCCGGACGAGCGAAATTTTCTCAGCCAAGAATTTGCGGAGAATTGGACTTCTAAAGAAGACTCTTCTAAGACGCAAGTTCCATTTCATCTTTGCAACGATGCCACGAAGGCTGTGACCTCTTGCACTTGAAGAGCTATTCAAAGATTCGACAGCCAAGCCTCGTGTTCCAATTAATTCTTTGCATCGGTATTACG